TGGACTATTTCCTATTGCTGCTATACCACCCTACCACAGACTTAGTGGATGCAAATACCAAAAATCTATTGTTACAGCTGTAGAGGTCCGAAGTCTGAGGTGAGTCTCACTAGGCCAAAATGGAAGTGCTGGCAGGCCTGTGTTCCTTGTGAAAGCTCTGGAGAAGAATCCATCCCCTTGCCTTTTCCAACCTGCATTTCTTGGCTTATGGCCCATTCCTTCATCTTTAAAGCCAGCAGTACAGTATCTTCAAATATCTCTCTCATTTTGCCACTAATGCTCCTGCTTCCCTCTTTACTTACAAGGACTCTGTGTGAGTACTGAGCCCATGTGGGTAATTCAGGATAATCTCCTTATCCCAAGGTCAGCCAGTTAATAACCTTAACTCCTCACAATACCCTTCATTCATGTAACATAATATATTCATAAATTCCAGGGATTAGGATGTGGACATCATTATGAGGACCCTTATTCTCTTTATTTTACATACAAAAGAGTATAAGTTAATGTGTACTTGGCAGTCAATTATTTTTCTTAAATTTTACAATATGGCCAAGAATTATTTTACAGTTTAACAGCAAGATATCTGAAGATAATATTTTCTGAGTAACTCACTAATATGCCTGTAAGTTTTAGCAATATATGCTAAACACTTAAAAGTTCAATGTTAACTACAGATTTTTTTCTAACTTAATATAATCATTCCCATTTCTTCAAAACAAGTGAAAAAATGTAAGCCAAAGCTACCATTGCAAAATCTAAATAGAATCATAAGCATTCTGGTGTTAAACTTCTATGATAAGATCCTGGCCTGTAAAGAAATAGGTGACAGGCGCTGGCCCTGGCTCACTTGGTTGGAACATCATCCAGTAAACTGAAAAACTTCGGGTTTGATTTCCAAATAGGGCACATGCCTGGGTTATGGGTTCAGCACCTGGCTGGGGTGTGTGCCAGAGGCAACTGACCAATGCTTCTCTTTCATGCTGATGTTTCTCTCCCTTTCTTTCTCCCCCACTTCCTCTTCAAAAGCAATGAAAAAATGTTCTCAGGTGAGGATTAAAAAACAAAAGAAAAATAAATAGGTGGCAGCACAATGCTAGGGGTAGCTCATGCCTTTTCTAGTCACAGAAATCAACATGTTTTAGGGTGTGGAATTATAGGAAAGGTCAAGTAGTCAATCAAATTGATACCTCAAAGGTACACATTTCTGGCCCAAGGCAAGTACATGGGCAGGTGAGGCAGGTGCTACACTGAGCCTGCCAGAAGATGACAGCTCAAACAAGTCCAGACTGCTCCCCAGGTGCCATATATGTAGACCTTTGTAAGCTATCCGGTTTCAAGATATCTTCTATATCTGTCAAATATGTCTTGTACATTATACCTTCTAGTTCACCTAATGGTTATCCTAAAAGTATAATACAGATGTTCTCCCCTTTCCACAGGGAATTTGTCCAAGTTCCCCAGTGAATGCCTGAAACCATGAATAGTACTGAACTCTCCATATACTATGTTTCTTCTTATACACATATAATAAAATTTAATTTATAAGTTAAGCATAGTAAAAGGCTAACAACAATAAAACAGAACAATTATAACAATATGCTGTAATAAACATTATGCAAATGTGGTTTCCTTCTCTCTCTCACTGTACTATACTCACCCTTCTTCCTGTGATGATGTGAGATGATGCAATGCCTACGTGATGAGATGAAGTGAGGACAATGACATAGGCATATTGATGGTGTGTTAGGCTACTATAAGAATTACTTGAACACAAACACTGCAGGACAGTGGATCTGATAACCCAGATGACTACTAAGTGACTAATAGGCAGGTAGCCTATGAAGTGTGAATACACTGGACAAAGGAATGATTCAAGTCCTGGATTGGGTGAGATTTCATCACACTACTCAGAACAGTGTCCCATTTAAAATTTACGATCTGTTTATTTCTCAAAATTTCCCTTAATATTTTTAGACAATGGTTGACTGCAGATATCTGATACCATGGAAAGCAAAAATGTGGATATGGGGGAACTTCTATACAGACATATATCTAAGATAACAATTCCTTAAAAAATTGTTATTAAGTTTCCAAAATAACACAAAATTAATAAGCTTTATACAAATCTGAAAATTCAAAAATCATATTTTTCTCTAAACTTAGTAATAATTACAACAAAGTTAATATCAGGGAATTATTTAAAATAACTTCCAGGGTATCTATTTCAATCTTCCTATCTCTTGAATTCTTACAGCCCATACATAACTGATATTCACAATGATGACCTCAAAATTTTGAAAGATACCAAGTTCTCATTGTTCATTAAACACTAAGTGAGGTCAGAATAATTTTACAAGTAAATATATTGAGAACATGTGGTTGAAAATTTATATTTTATTTAAAGCCTGGATATTTGTGAATTACAAATATGTGAAACCTGTCAGAATATTAAAGTATATACTCACACCTTTTCTTACCACATTGCACAAATATAAGTTCACTTTAATGAAATCAACAGCAGGGCTCAACTTTTTAAGTGGTATAATTTAATTAAACACTTCTAACCAATGAAACAGGTTTTCCCAAAGAAGCATACTCTTTCTAAACTATGTTATTTTGTTTTAATCAATCAGGACTAGAAGCAATAAAAATGCAATAATAGGAGGTATCCTGTATTTTATGTCAGAATATGTTATTTCTTGAAACTTGGCTTATTACACAAGGAAAGGCAAAAAATGGAAAAGCATTTATCAAGAGCAATAATTACTCAATTTTTCTAATAAAGAAGCTTTATGAACATATCTGGGAGATGACGGTGATGGTCATAATGATGGCGATGGTGACAACAATGACAGAAGTTTGAATGACTTAATCTAAGAAGCTTTTGCTGGAGAGGAACAAAAATCCAGAAAGAATGTCATTAAAACCCATTTATGAGTCATCACCCTAACTGTAAGTCCAGTGCACTATTTTATAATTCCCTCTCCAAATGTAAAAATCACCTCTCCAAGAAAACAGCAAAGCCATTCATTTACTTATTCTCCCACTGCTGACCAACTATTCAACAATAGCTTGCACCATGACAAATGTTATTGACCTACACTTCAGAGCCCTCTGTACCTTCAGATGCTTCTTCTATACACCCCTTTACTTCCATACAATTCCCAAGGCTACTCTTGTGTAGTCCAATCCTTAAGTAAAAGACTAGGCTGAAAACATAGCTGCATCATCTGACAACTGATAAGCAAAATAAATGTGAGCATCTGAAAGGTTCCAAGTCACACAAAACCTGTTTAAAATAGTTTTAACAGAAGAAAGCAAAAAGAAATGAAGGAATGTTGAATACTTGATATATTTATCGATGGTTAAGAAACAGAAAACATATATCAAACAGTATTATGGAAATCTAATTGACCATATCAGGTAGAAAAAAAATTTTCCCAGACAGAAAATTCAATGTCTTTCACAAATGCCAAAAGGTTAATCATAAAGTTTTCTGCAATACTGATCAAATCATACCTTAAGAGGGAAAAGAAGAACAGATTTATGTGCAACAAGTTAAGTTATTAGTTCAAATTTTGTCAGGGATTTGAAAATTTAGGTAAAGCTGGCACTGCATAAAAAACCCTGAGCATTAGATAATGGCACTGAGGACAAACACTCGACAATGATATGTCAAAAGAAACAAAGGCCAACAACACTTTTCCTATAGTGAAATACACTTATTAAGTTAGACCTTTCAGTTTCCTCTGTGATATTTTTAGTAGTCAATTCAAAAGGAATAAAATGGCCCTGGCCAGTATAGCTCGGTTGGTTGGATCCATAACCAAAGGGTTTCGTGTTTGATCCCTGGTCAGGACATATACAGGAGGCAGCCAGTTGATGCTTCTCTCTCACATCAATGTCTGTCTCTCTCTGTCTCTCCCTGCCTCCCTCCCTCTCTCTCTAAATGCAATGAAAACATGTACTCTTTGGGTCAGGATTAAAAAAATATTTAAAAAGAATTGAAATGTAAAGGTATGTGGACTTTCCCAAACAAAGGAGCAGCTAGTGAGGAAAACAGGAAGTAAGACAAAAAATGACTCCATTACTTCTCAAGAGCTAAAGAACAAAAACCACCTTGGGCCACCTCCATGTCACTTGTGAAAAAAAGAATCCCCGAGTCAACCTTTCTAAGCAATGTTAAATAAATAAGAAAAAACTGTAATAAAGCCATATGTTATGTGTTCCTTAGCCAATTTATTCAATTAACCCACATCTGCAGAAGGTCCATAGGGTATCATGCCACCTACGTGAGAAATTCTAAAAGAAAAATATTTTTTGACTTCCAGGCATCTGCTAGTCAATTTCAGAAAAAGAAAAAACTCAATACCATACAGAAAATCCATCATGAGGAATTTATCACTCATAGAAGTTACAGATTGGGAAACCATCAAGGTTACTCTTTTATTTTTTGTTGTTTTTTTAAAAATATATTTTTACTTATTTTTAGAGAGAGGGGATGGGAAGGAAAAAGAGTGGGAGAGAAACATCAATGTGTGGTTGCCTCTCATGTGTCCCCTACTGGGGACTTGGCCTGCAACCCAGGCATGTGCCCTGACTGGGAATCTAACATGCAACCCTTTGCTTCACAGGCCCGTGCTCAATCCACTGAACTACACCAGCCAGGGCAGGTTTTTTTTTAATAATGAGATTTTTTTTTGAGCAATAGGAAGTAAACGTAGGAAGGACAAAACAAAAGAGAAGAATCCAGGGATGTAGACAAAGGTAATTCAAAGTAAAAAGACACCAACCTGAAGCCCAGGCACCCAAGTAGAGAACAATGCTGTGGCAATCAGAGGCTACAGGTGGGGACATGACAATGGGTAATAGCTGCAAAAGGTCCAATTAAATACTCTGAGCCACCGGGCTAAAGGACAACAATAGGCAAAATCCAATGGGAATGTCCATGAAAATTACAGATATTATTTTATAAATAGAAGAGATTTATTACTTACCCGATTAATATGGTTGTTTCTTAAAATAATCTGTAGTAGGGTTTTCTCAAATTCTTCCAACTTCTTGGAACACTTTTTAAGAATATGATTAGATAAGTCACGATCACTGATCAATCTAGCTAAAGTATCAACAGCTTCTGTCCAAAAACTTGAAAAAGGAAATTTGGGTTCACGGTAAAAAGTGATCAGGCCATCCAGCAACTGAAAAACAGAATCAGACACCGTTGAAGAGTTGTTTTCAAAGTGGCTTAAGTCTGTTTTGAGACTCCCTGATTCTGTCCAGCTCTTCAGCTCAAGTAGATGATGCAAGAATTGCATGTGAGAAGACAAAGGATTTTCCGAAGTAGCACAATGTTTCTTCCCAATGGGCAATGATGGAAAGGGTGTGGGGGCATAGCTCTCCACAAAATCCTGTGATACCTCTGAAGTTTCAGTCCTCTGCTCATTTGATAAATCACACCCAGAATCTTCCAGCACAGTTAATGTATTTTCAGAAGTTCCTGGTTCCTGAACCTGTAACTGGGAAGATGAGTCTCCTGAAATAGAAAAAAAATACAAGTGTAATATTTCTAGAGCTAAAATATTTTCATACAAAAACTAGACATTGACTTTTCTAACTCAAAATACTAAATGAAGCACGTAGATATGTATTAAACATTTTAAAACAGTAGTATAAAAACTGAATAGATGAAAAACAAAGTAATTGCTTAGGCTTACAGTAGACAAGGTCTTTGTCTTTACTGGTAGAAAGCAAAGGTGATATTACCCATATCACTCTTTCTCATTCAACTAAGTACCACACTTGAAAGATACAGAAGGGTTACTACAAAACCTGAAGGAGGCTGCTATCTAGTATAGATTCCAACAAAGAGATAAGGTGTCTCTGGAAAGAGATTTACTATGAAAACAGGACGATCCTGGTTAATTTAGTGCATTCTGGAAGAGGTGATGGTGGGAGTAAGTTATAAAACATAAGCAGAAATTCAAAATTAAAAGTTAGGGGAACTGAGGAAGACAGACAATTCCACATATCAAAGGGGTAAGCACAAAAGCACAGGTTTAAGAAGAAAAAGAAAAGCATTGTGTCTATAAGGACCCAGAGTAATTTTACATTCCTTTTACAAAGAAAAATAAGGCAAGAAATTAAGATGGAGAAGTATGTAGAGGAAAGGTCATAAAAGATCTTAAAAAGATGTATTAAGGACCCTAGTTTATAGGTAGAGTACAGAATGAATGTAATTTAGATTTGAATAATGTAAGATCACTTGGGAAAAATTATACACATCCACACATGTACTTATATACAAAAATAAGCAATTTATATGTGTATGTGTACTCATTTATAATGTCGATCTATCTATGGATACTTGACACTATTTCTATAACTGCTAGAATCTTCTCATTACCAGAGAAATGCTGTAGTTAAAGTTTTCCCTAGTAACTTCAGGTTTTTCTTTGATAGAAATACCATCAGAAACACAAAGAAGGTTGTTTATGAAAAGATTATCAGTAAAATATATACACAAAATTGAAAAATTCTCATTTTTTAAAATTAAATTTTTTGTATTGTTATTCAAGTACAGTTATCTCCATTCTCCCTCCCATCACTCCCCCAACCCCAGCCTCCCCACTTCCCACACTTGATCCTACCCCCCTTTGGTTTTGTCCATGTGTCCTTTACTCATGTTCCTGAAAACCTTTCCTCCTTTCCCCCCATTATCCCCTCCTACCCCCCCTCTGGTTACTGTTAGTTTGTTCTTAATTTCAATGTCTCTGGTTATATTTTATTTGCTTGTTTGTTTTTTTGATTAGGTTCCACTTATAGATGAGATAATATGGTATTTATCTTTCACTGCCTGGCTTATTTCACTTAGCAAAATGCTCTCCAGTTCCATCCATGCTGTTGCAAAGGGTAGGAGCTCCTCCTTTCTTTCTGCTGCATAGAATTCCATTGTATAAATGTACCACAGATTTTTGATCCACTCATTTACTGATGGGCACTTAGGAATTCTTATTGAACATTCACACATGTAAATATATATGAAGCCAAATTTGAGAACTATTCCTGTCAGTGATAGAAGCAGGAAAGAGGCACTGAACAGTGTAATGCAGAAAAGTGAAATAGTCTTATTTTCATTTCATAGATCCCTCTGTTGACTATCTGAAGAGCAAACTGGAGGAGGACACAGTAAGACACTGAAAGATCAATTAGAAGGCACCTCTGTTAGTCCTAGTACCACGTGGTGAGAGAAATGAACTAAGTAGTAGTGGTAGAAAGGAAAGGTAGGGATTGACCAGGAAATAAATACAAAACATCAAAATGTAATCTGGAAGCCAGATGACTGACTAGATGTAGGCAATGAAGTAAAAAGAGGAACAAATGCCATGGTTCTAACTTAAGTGACTGGGTGTTACCAACTGAAATGGTAAAAACATGGACAAATAACTGACTTAGAAGAAACTGAGAAGTTCAGGTTTGGTCATGTAAACTCTGAGGCAACTGTTAGACATCCAGGCGAAGATATTCATCTGGAAATTGGCCACACGAACCTAAGGGTGGACAAGGGCTCTAGACTACAAATACATGTTCAGAGTTATCAGTGTGTAGATAGTATCTGAAGTAATAAAAATGGTTGTAAACACCTGGGAAGAGGACATGCACTGACCAGAACAAGGGATCATAGAGGGGTGCTGAGGAGTATCAATATTTGAGGAATGAGTAAAGAAAAAAATAATCATCAAGGAGACAGAATGAACAATTAAAGAAGTACAAGAAGAATAAAAATGATAGTGTCATGGAAGTTAAGGAAGCAGTTTTGAGGAGAATTATATGCAATAGAGAAGTCCAAGAAAATAAAGAGCTGGAAAAATATGTTGGAATTACTGATTAGAAAATCACCAGTGACTAATCCACAGCAGCTCTGGTTGGTCAGGGTGGTGGACAGAGGTCAGATTGCAGTGGACTTAAGGATAATGGGCAAAAAGTAAGGGAAGAACGGTAAGACTTCTGAGGACATGCACGGATCAGGAGAGTACAAACTGAAGAGTAACTGATGCCAATGGGGTGTGACAAATTAGGGGAAACATGAGCAATTATAGACTCAGAAGAGAAAAAACAATAGAGAAGCAAGTGTTGGAAATATGAGAAAAAAATAAAAGTGCCAGGTGGGCGTGGCCCTAGAGAAGGCGGGAGGCTGATTCTAGGACCCCAGTGGATGGGCTGTGCTTAGTGATGTGTAAGTACTTTTTTTTCCTCGAAAGCTGAGAGAGAGATGATGAGAATGTATACGGATAGAAAAAAAATGCCACTGTCATAGAGGAAGTTATTTCTTCTATGGAAATATCCATAGGATATTTCACCTAAAAAGTTATATACACACGTATTTTTTAAAGCTAGAGACAGGGAACGCTAACTGAACAGGGCATAAGAATAATGATGGAAGTAACATTTTCTATGCTCACTACCATATATTTGAAAATCTATCTAATTTGTTGCTCTTTTATCTCCATCAGCAAAATTAAAAACTGATGAGGCAAAATCAGAGAACTGAGCTTTAATTCGGAATTCATTCACTTAACAAGTGCCTACTATAATCACTGCAGATATGCAAATGTGTGCTTGCTAATTATCACGACAGTATCTGTACTTCATGTTTGGGAGTAATGCAGTTAAGTTAAAAAATGTGGTGGTACCCAGAGCAGTGAACTACCAGCAAAGTGTTAACTGCATGCAGCTATTTCTGTGCTACAACAGGCAGACAGCCTGGCTGTTTTAGGCAAACAGGCAGTTTTCTTTTTTTCACATAAGCAAGGACAAACACTTGAAATGACTTCTTACCATCCATTTTTCTCTTCACAAAAGTAGAGGAGGGGAGTTACTATGGTAATTATGCAGGTAGATTACATTTTCTAAAATTTTATTTTATTTCTCTATTTACTTTATCTGTATCTCTTTTTTAAATATTTTAAATTTATTTCTCTTTTAGAGGGGAAAGGAAAGAGACAGGGAGAGAAATATCAATGTATGGTCGCCTCTCGTGCATCCCCTGCTGGGATCTGGCCTGCAACCCAGGCATGTGCCCTGACTGGGAATCGAACCACAATACTCTGGTTCACAGATCCACGCTCAGTCCACTGAGCTACACCAGCCAGGGCTGTTTTATCTTTTTCTATCACCATTCATGCTCCCTGTACCCTCTTCCACCTCCACCCAGCCCCTCCCCCCAACCACCACACTGTTGTCCATGTTCATGCATTTTCTTTTTTTGTTGTTTAATGCAAAATGGTGCTCCACTAGGAAAGTGAACACAAGTTTAAATATTTCATTAACCTACTCAATTTTTCATCAGTGTAAGCTGAATTTCATGGTTGATGATTTTAAGGAAGGCTCATAAAAATACATTCTACCAACTATTAAATTGAGAAGCAAAAAACTTCTTTTCTGCTTTTCACTCCTCGCTGGTGTGCCTTTTGGCAAACGGCAACCACACCATCTCATCTCCTCCGTGTACTGATGGGGACAGAGTTGAAAGGAACTGTTCACATGCTCTGGGGAGAGGAATGCACAAACCCAGCCACCACTGTCCCTGGTTACCCTGTTTCTGGACCCTGAGGAAAGACTGATGAGGGCACTATGTTGGAGATGCCATAGTATAAAACCACACAGAAAGAAATCTCCTCTCTGTTTCCTAAAGGAATGCATAAACTCCACGCTGAGATTTTATACAATATGGCTAACAGCATTCAAGTTGCTCTTATCAATTGAACAGAAGAATCTTAGGTTCATATTTCACTTTACAAAGTAGTTTCATCACATAATTCAATTGTTGTTCACAACGCTGGAAGATATGTTATTACCAGTAACGAAATGCAGGTTCAGCTTGATTAAGAGGCCTGACAAAAGCCATGCAGTGAGCAAGCGAAACCAATTCTTCAGTTCCAAGTCCAATCATGTTCTAACCACAGAAAAGAAGCCTGTGTGTTTCCACGCCAGCTTCTGAACATTTTCATTACAATATTCATCTATTTCTATGTTGTCCACTTGCTCATGAGCTCCTGAATGGCAGAAGCCCTGTCTCTTGTAATTTTTGTGGTCATCTCACTGAATAGCAGTATTATCTGTAGACAATACCTTATTGGGAGAAACGCCTAGTGCCACAACTTGCAGCCTGGCTGTGACCTATCATCTTCTTCATTGTAAATATCCATTATGACTCAGAATCAACTCCTCTGCAACATATGCCAAATTATAACATTTTTATAAATACATAAGAAAGATAACATAGGATACATACAGACAGAAAGAATATGGTTATTGCAAATCATTTAAAAATGTTTCAGAATACTTGCTAACAAATAGCCAACAATATGCTTTTCACAGTATCAACTACCTCTTTTAACCAATAACCAATTTATTTCCTCTCCTATTTGTTCACAGTGATGCAAACTTTGAAGATGGAAAACAGCATTTGCATTGGAAACCAACACTTCCATAATAGAAAGCACTCACTGCCTAATAAAGTAAACAATAGTGGGC